TAATTAATTAATAATAAGTGTTTTAAGTGTACAGTGCATACAGTTGTTGAATTACCATATATATGTATATTACCATCAACGGAAGCTGTGATACGCGCGTTAAACCCTAGATGGCGTTAAGGATGACTTTGTGAATGAATTTCTAAAATTAAGCTCTTGAGTGTCAAATGTGTAAGTGAATATATAAGTTTTAAAAAAATAGATCAATTTATTAAAACAACTTTTTTGATTTGTAAAAATATAAAAAAAAAATTTTATAACGAACAAAAATTTTTTAATGAGAAAAAGTTTTTTTTGTGTCAAAATTAAATAATGACTTTTCAGTATTTAAAAAAATTTTTTTAAATTCAATATTGAATTATATTTTACTTTATTATTTCCGGTCATTATTCCTTCAGTAGACAGTGAACCGTGAACAAAATTCTTTGTTGTACAATAGTATATTGTGCACCAAGTACGGAAAGAAGCTGTTTTCTGACAAGTGCAAAATTTGCTGCACCGAGCGAAGCACATTTATTCCGAAGTCGGAAAATATTCTTTCAGTACTTGGTGCACACAGTACTTTGTGCAACACCAATTTAGAGAAAATGCATTTTATTAAGTGAATAACAAGCTACAATGAATGTTTATATTAATAATAAAAAATATTTATTACATTCATAAAATATGTAATAATTTCTATATAATTAGTTTTATACACAAATTCAACTGCCAATAACGAACAAAAGTCAAAGTTCTTCAAAAATAAAGTCATAACACTCGATGCGGGATTTATTAAAAACTCCCACATTAGAAACTCTAATACTTTTTTCGAGTACTGTATATTATACTCAAAATTCGAATATTCCTACTATCACCACCAGTAGTTCGACTTATTCATATGTAACATTACAGTGGGAACATTAGTAGCGAATTCGGTCTCCTTTCCCAGTATGAGTTATACAAATCAGTTAACTGATAATTCGGGTCGTTCTCCCTCAAGTGAAAGATTTGAAATTTATAAACCAGGTAGAATGTCAGCAGTTATTCAAAAAACAAATCTGGAATTCTCATTACCCCCTTATTATGAACATTTAACAATTCAATCAAATGAGCCTTTAATAGATTTTGAGAAAGAAATTTTCGGATGTAATTCTTATCATTTGGAGTCAAGAGAACAAAATAATTGTCTGTTGACACCTGAACGCACGGATCTTGTAAAACCGGTAGTAAGAAAAAATAAGACTTTATTTTTATCCCGAATATTAAAGAAATTCGGAAAAATTATCCGAATAATGAATTGTTTTCGGATAAACATAAGTTGAACTAAAAAACTGTTCTAAAACAGTTACAGGTTGTGCATACTGGGCTCCAGTGGTTTTGGTTAAATAAAGATAATTGGTCTTCGTGGGACCAATTTAAGGGCGCGTTTCGTGCTAATTTCGGGGATAAAAATTACCAGCGGAGACTTGAAGAACAAGTTCTAAATCGAGTGCAAGGTCTGCGTGAGCCCACTACAAATTATATTATTAGTATGCAAGGTCATTATTCTAAATTCACTCGATTTGTCTCATTGATCGAAGTATTAGATAGAATATACTTCAATCTCAGCCCTGATATGAAACGTTCAATAAGCAGGCACGAATTGAATACCTTGAATGAATTGTCTGTAATAGCTGCCGAAGTTGAGCGAACGTTAGAGTCGCTTAAAATCATAAGAACTGAAAGCAGAATTAAAGAAGGTGATTAACCTTAGGGTCAATAATCCTCCTAATTTAGTTTTACAGACCCTTGATAATAAAATAATAAAAAATCAATCGAATAAGACTAAAATAACAGCAGATAACGAGTCACGTGAGAATCATATAGTAGGATCTATTTCGAATTTAGAACATCTAGCTATTAGAAATTTTGATAACAAATTAATAAACCCGATTAGCAAATTGATCATTTCGGATCATAAATTGAATGAACTTTTTGAACAACCTATTAAGGGGTTAGTACCACATCTTTATTCAAGAAAATCGATTTTCTAAAAACTGTATATTCTTGTAGTAGAAATATGTAGAAATGCTATGGAAACTATTATTTTAGATGGAAACTTCGGTAACATATCGAAAAACGGGGTACAAAATAAAAGTCACGCGCTCATGTACTCTTCGCGAGTACAATGTATGCTTTTATAAATATATACCAATATAAATATATATCAAATTAAACATATATGTGATGTATTCCACTTTAAAGTGTAAGTCCATCTGTAATTGCATCTCCGATTTTTTTTCTTTTAGTACTAATTGAGACTAGCTTCCATGAATTATTTCAAATTTTTTTAGCAGGCCGTTTTCGAGTTATGGAATTTTGAAAATTGGAGAATTTTCATGACTTTTAATTTTTGAATGCTTATAACTTCCTTAAAAATGCATCAATTTAAAAAGTTTTTTTCAAAAAGTGTGTTTTTAAACGTACTTTTTAACAAAAAAATCGAATTTTTTTAAAACGATATTACTATCACATTTTTGAGTTTTAATGATAAAAAGTCATTTTTCTCATTTGATGTACTGATCGATTTTTTTCAAAAATTTTTCAAAAAAACCACTTCTTATTACGAAACTTTTAAGCCCAGCCCGATAATGGTCAAACGATTTTTACAATATTTTCAGAATTTTTCAAAAACTTTGAAATTTGAATTTTTTAAAAATATTTTTGTTTTTTTTATACTACGTACTTTTATTTATTTTGATGGGCTGATAACGAAAATCATAGTGACAATACCCAAAAATTTGATTTTTATGGTGAAAACCATAAAAAAGTCCCAAAATTTATGGTTTTTATTGTTTAGTGGGTAAAATATGCAAAACTAAAAAAAATGTATTTTAATAAGATCTATAACTTTTCTTTGAAAGTTTTTTTTAATTTTGCATATTATACCCAATAAACGAAAAAACTATAAATTTTGGGACTTTTTTTATGGTTTTCACCATAAAAATCAAATTTTTGGGTATTGTCACTGTCACGTCCCCGTGACGTATTTATACATGTGAGAGATTCTTTTTCAATCGCCCCAGCCCAAAAAGTCAATGTTCTGGGATTGGTTTCATACTTTGGTAAATTGTTCTCCTATATGATAGTAATAAATCCCTAAAATATAAACTCATTAAAAAAATATTTGTAGAAAGTAGAGGGGGTTGAAGTTTTGACGTTAAGGGTAACATTGTCATTTTCAAATCCGTATAACTATGACAAAAGTTTAAGGATTTTAATTTATCAATAATGAATTTTAATGCATTTTTCACGTACTTTTCAAAAATGTATACGAAATTTAAAAAAAAATTTTTTGACCCCTTTTTTTCAAAATCAACCCTTATTTTTCGATTTTCACCCCTTCGGGTATTTTTTTTTATTTTCATTGGAAAGCTGAGGTTTTTTCCGATGAGCTATGTAAATGTGAAAATGGGACAACAATAATTTTGTGAGAAACATAATATTAAATTAGGCGGTGCCTACCTAAATCCTCAAAGATGATCTCCAGGTATACCCCTTATCGGTACCGCCTACTTTAATCTTCTGTTTCTCACAAAATTATTGTTGTCCCATTTTCATATTTACATAGCTCATCGGAAAAAACCTCAGCTTTCCAATGAAAATAAAAAAAAATACCCGAAGGGGTGAAAATCGAAAAATAAGGGTTGATTTTGAAAAAAAGGGGTCAAAAAATTTTTTTTTAAATTTCGTATACATTTTTGAAAAGTACGTGAAAAATGCATTAAAATTCATTATTGATAATTTAAAATCCTTAAACTTTTGTCATAGTTATACGGATTTGAAAATGACAATGTTACCCTTAACGTCAAAACTTCAACCCCCTCTACTTTCTACAAATATTTTTTTAATGAGTTTATATTTTAGGGATTTATTACTATCATATAGGAGAACAATTTACCAAAGTATGAAGCCAATCCCAGAACATTGACTTTTTGGGCTGGGGCGATTGAAAAAGAATCTCTCATATGAGGATATTCAAAATGCAAATCCTAACACTTTTCTTCCAAACAATATGCCATTTCCCAATTATTATAAACCAACGGAAACTTTTGTACATCATATTAAACCATATATGATTTTTACTATTAATGTTCCACTTTTATCAAAGAATATATATCAATTATTCAAAATGCATTCGATTAGAGGAACGTAAAAATGGAATAAAAATTTTAAATCTATTATTGATGTAAATCCTGAAAATAAATACATTACATTTTCTGATGATAATACAACCTACTTCACTTTCAACAATGAATGGATGAAAACTTGCTCTTCTCAATTACCGGATCTTACATGTAAAATCCCAGCAGAAATAAAATCTTCAATTACTGAACCTATATGTGAGAGTTCACTCTTTTTCTTCAACTCTTTTCAAAATGCAACTTTCAAATTATATCAGAACCAGAACCTAGATGGTTACCACTACATCAAAATAATTCATGGATATATAACTTGCAACCAAAGCACTTGTTTCAAATGGAATGCTCAGGAAATTCAGAATCCTAATTTTCATAAACGGTAATGGAAAATTACAAATTAAACCTAATTGCATACTTAACTTAATCGTAAAACTAAAAAAACTATACAGAAAGAAAAATTAAATGAGAGACGCCATTATAAAAATTATATTATTCACTTAATAATTTCATTTATCATTTTATTAATAATCATAATTCTAATATGTATCATTTATAAAATATCTCAAGATCAAATTCAAGATTTATGTTTTTGGCATAAACACATAGCCAATCTTGACAGAGAAAATACCTATGACCTTCCACATAGTTATCAAACAATGCCTATGATCAGAGTAAATCCTCTTCAAGGACTTCATACAATAATGGAAGAAGCATAAAAAATTAATTTAAAATCAATCTTTTAAGAATAATTGAATTTATAATTATTTCGAAACATATCTCCAATATTTAATTAACAAAATAAAGAATTTTCGGGAAATTAATAAATAAATTACTACATAGATATAAAATATATTTATTATTGTTCTTCACAAAATTAGTATATACAATATTCTCTTTACATATTAAAAAACATACAGTTAACTCACTTTAATCAATAATTTATTAAAATTTATGAAACAATAAGGCAAAATTAATTTTCATTTAAAAAAATATATTTATTATAAAAGCTTTCTTTTTTTGGTTTTAATCCCTCGAAATACTGAAACAAACAAAGTACAAAATACAATCAATTAATTAATGAATATATTAGATAAAATTCTCTACATACCTCTATTATGGTATTCTCAATTATTTGGAAGGCTGTATTTTGGTAATAAAAAACTTCATTATTTTCATCTAATCTCTTAATTACTGTCTCTTTAAAAAGTTTTATAATGAACTATGGAAAACAACAAAACCTTTCCGGTAATACAAACATTCCATTTGGTGTTTCTAATTTGGGTAAAATTTTTATAAATCTTAAATTTCTCACACAAGTAATATATTCATTTTCAACCTAGAAAAAATAAATAATATTAATTTTTGTTCTAATAAAATATATAAACAATTACTTACCCTACATAATGTATTATCTTTGATCCAACAATACACCTTTCTTATTTCAAAAACACCGTCTATTGTCTACTCATCTATTTGTTTCAATACCTCCAAATACAAATCATGTTGAACCTCGATTTCAAATAAAGACCACCATCGTGGTAGAAAAATTTTCTTCTGATTTATTATTATATAGATAATAAATCCTCTATTTATTTTTTCCAAGACGTATGTGGATCTTACACGCCATCTATGTTGCAAATCTTTTGGGAGGAGAGGAAAAATATATTCAATTTGATTATCTTGAGAAATTTGACATCCACTATTTGTGGTATTTTTTATTGGCACAATAGTCGTTCGTTTCGTGTTCCTTCTTTCACTGTTTAAAGGTGATTGGTTTTCACCAGGTGCAATTATTTGCACTTCACTCGTAGACTCATCCACAACATCACTTTCAGTTATATTTATTAATTGATTTATCGCTTCATTACCTAATAACTCAGCAATTAATTTATTGAAATTATCATTTCGTCCAGACTACTAGAACTTTTGGATTCCATTTCTTTTTCTTATTTTTCTCGATTGTATCGTTTCAAAAATTCTAAGAGAACTGACTAAAAAACAAATGATCTGGCCTTTTTAAACCCCAAAAATCATTTAAATATTGTGAAGAGTGGAAAAGAAATCTAATGGAAAAATAGAATCGAGTTAATGGAAAACTTTTAAAACCTGCATTTTTATTATCTACAAATGTAAGATAATTAATCTATTACATATCCCTCCGACAATTTGTCTTTGATTTTATGAGCAGTCAGATGGCGTGGAGACAAGTTAAAAGGGAGAACCTTTCCCGCTCCCTTTATTAACACATTTTCATTTGTAGCTCTTCATATTTAAAAAACGAATTTCAATCTTGACAAAACTATACTTATTAAATTTAAATTTTATTTTCTAAAGATTAAACATCGTTGTATTTAATCTTTTAGATGAACCCAATTAAAGAATTGGAGAATTTAAGTATTCAGTAGGGTGAATTCATGCCTAAAAAATCAAAGTTGTCCCCTAGTTCTCCGATTTTGATGAAACTTGGTAAAATTGTAGGGAAATACATGAAAATAAATAATCCAAAAGCGATTTTGAAAATTTTTGGATTTACAGGGGTTCAAAAATTTTATTTTAAATTTTGAATAAGATGTATTTCTGATAAAAATGAATGAATTTTAATAATTTTTTCAGGAATTACGTATTATTTACTAACATTTCGGAAAAAAATTTGACCAAAAAAAATTTTTTTTTAAACAAAAAATTTGAAAAATAATTTTTAAATAAATTTTTGAGAAGTACAATTTTTTTTTTTAATATATGTGATCATCTACGACAAAACAAGGCTTAGCTCCCAAAAGTAAATTTTACAGGGCAGGCGATTGAAGTAGAAGCAGAAACAAGGAACACGCTTGACATGCCCGTCTTTAGAACGTTATAGTGTCAAAAGTAATTGACAAAAACAATTTCTGACTTTTGCATGTGAAAGAGCAACTTAAAATCTATCGATTAGCACTAAAAACTCAAAATTGATTTTTTTGGAGCTAAGTCTTGTTTTGTCGTGGACGGTCACTTATTAACATTTCGATTCCTTAGGATTTCATGAGTATTTTGTCTTGGCGCGCAGTGCCGAAGCGAGCACGCAGGCAAAGACACTGTTGAAAGCTAATGTTTAAAATTGCCTGCATACTGCAAATCTTAACAGAATTTAATTTCTCTTTTTGGAAATTGATCAGCAATACATGTATAAACAAACTTTTTTATTCATTTTCTTATTATTAACAAAGTGACACTTATAAATAAACAAATAACTGGATCCTATTTATATAGTTATTGGAATTCACTGTTTTTTAGTAATTGATTCATCCTACCCAAATCATTTAAACTAATGTTTTAAAATTAAAATAATTCTATTAAAATTAATATTAATATTAGTATTATTAATATATTATTAACAATAATTTTTTTAAACAAGTTTTATCAGAACTATGTTTTTAACAAACTTCTTTCTCAAATATGTTTATTATTCGTTTGAGTCAAAAAGTTAATGACAAATGGTTTATTTTTAAAATATAAGTATTTTTATTAAAACTTTCAATCAACAAGTTATGAACTAATATTATTGAATGTTAAGGGTTTTGCTAACTTTTGCATTTGAATACACCTTACATTTAATTTGGTTTTTGTTGAGTGGTTTAAAACAATGGAAACTTCTAGATCCAATTAATTGTTTTGCCAGTCTTTTTGCAGTACCTCCAATTCCATCACAAGGTCCTTTACCGTGTGAAGTAGCGTAAAAATGCCATTCAGAATGCACTTGAAAATCAGAAAAGTGGTGGGCAAGGTTAATTAAATTGTACCTATTTTTATACTGCGATGCAGCTCCATCAGTGAAATAAACAATTTTTTAAATTACATGCCTTCTTCTTAAATCGTTTATTAATTTCTTAATAAATAAATTTACAGCATTAGCATCATGGCTGAGATCCTCAGAAATCATTTCAAAACTTTCATGTTCGAGTTTACCTTCATTCGTAAAATAAACGAAGAAAGGATGCAAAGTAATTTGGTCTTTTGCCCAAAATTGGCTCTGAATCGCATCCTGAATGACTACTGCGTAATTTTCGAGAAAATCACCTAACACCAAAAATTCTCCAGGATTCAGAGACTTTTTTACATTAGAAAGATGCTTAATTTGCTCTTTAGCAATGAAGTCATGCATTAAAAGAATCTGTAAGTTTGTTAAAAAACTTTCAATGAAATCGTCGACTTCCTCAACGCAATTAATCAACTCGGTTCTATCAGTCGATACCCAACTTCTGTATGTAACTGTGCCTACACAATTGCTGTAGAAAACATTCATTAAAGTGTCGATTAACTTTTCAATGTCATTACATTTTTGACATTCTAGTAAAAAACATGAATCTGATGGAGGATTGCAAACCATTTTTTGCAAAATAGTCTTATACGAACCTAGAAAGGAAGCTTCAGTATCATTTTTCGTTAATTCTTCTAACTGAACATCCTGAATCTTCAATATTACATTCTGATGAATCTTACAGACACATACCTGATGTGTACCATCAGAGCCTGCGAATACACATTCTTTTGGTCGCAGTTCGGCCAGCTTCGATAAGCCTAGTTGACGATCGGAGTGTTCGATTAGATAAAGAGCATGAATTTCATTCAGATTTCCAAGTAATAAACGTTTTTGCACTTGAGTGCGAACATTATTTACTATGCAAGAAACGTAATTCTTCTTTCCAGGTAGCACTCTACTGATTTCGTCGTTGTAATAAAATGATTTAACCGAATCTATGGTTTCCTGCGGCAGAGTCAATGTTCCTTTTCAAGGATTTTGAGATGAACCAATGCCTTTTTCTTCGTGAAGCATAAAAACTTTACGAGCCAAAGTGTACGAAACTTCAAAATATTTTTCTAATTTTCGAGCACTCCAATCTTTTGGTGCCATAGTCAGAAGCCTTACAATCTCAACTTTGCTTTTTGTTTTCTTTGTCATCTCTTTGATTTCTTCAACAAGTTCATGAATTTCATTTTCACTCAAATCATCATCTTCTAAATCAAATACTTTTTTCAATTTTGAATTCAAAGCTGTCTTAATTTCTTCAACTTTCTTTTTTCGAGCTACATACGATCGGAAATCCTTATTTTTTAAAATAGGTGAAGCACCCAAAAGCAAAAGAATTGTATTCAATTTTTTTAAATTCTCGTCTTTTTCGATACTTCTTTCTATATTATCACTCTCCTCTATTTTGATTTTTTCGCTGTTAATAATTTCAGCATCTAATTCAATCTGTTCAATGGAAATTTTCTGAGATGTTGACTGTTCTACAGTTTCTTCCATCGAAGACATGGAAGAAGAATTCAATTCGTCAGAATTTTGTTCTCTTGTAGAAATAATTTTACTTCTCACATCTAGTCTACACGTGTCGCAAATAAGACTTTCTTTTTCGAGACCCAGTTTTTTCTGCAATAAAATACTAGCAGGGCGAATATTCCTTTCTGGAATATTTTTTCCATGATTTACCTTTTTATAGGGATTATAACAATATTTCGGACCCATAATATTAGTTTTAACCCCAACTATATTTATGGTGAAACTTAAACTAAGAGAATATAAAAGAAATTAAATAAAAATAAAAAAAATCTAGAAATAAAAGAAACTTATGCAACTAAAAAAACACGAAACAAAATTAATAAAAATTAAATTCAAACCAAGAAGACCTATAAGTAAGAAAAAAACTATTCAAATTAATAAAATAATAAACTGGCACAAAAAGTTAAATTATTTTTATTTATCTGAGCTCAAAAGCATGAAATACAATTACTGTGCTGGGGATGTAGTTCGAACGAATGCTCGGAGAGAAATGAATACCACTCAGTGCCCACTCTGACAAGCTTAGAAGTTTGTCAGAGTGGTGATTGAATGCGTTACGATCCGCGAATGCGTATTTCAATCCAACAATATATTCAAAAGCAAAGATAAAAATAGCAACCAGTGATCAAAATATCCCTGTAACTGGTAAATTGCAATCGAATTAAAATGATTGTGTATTTATTTTACTAATTAATAATAATTTACAGATGTAAATAAACAAATAATACAATACTTATATTTTAAAAATAAAACATTTGTCATTAACATTTTCACTGTAACGAATAATAAACATTTCTGAGAAAAAAGTTTGTTAAAAATATAGTTCTGATAAAACTTGTTTAAAAATAAATAAATAAATAACAATATACTATAATTTTAATAGAATAATTTTAATTTTAAAACATTAGTTTAAATGATTTGGGTAGGATGAATCAATTACTAAAAAACAGTGAATTCCAATAACTATATAAATAGGACCCAGTTATTTGTTTATTTCTAAGTGTCAATTTGTTAATCATTAAAAAATCAATAAAAAAGTTTGTTTATACATGTATTGCTGATCAATTTCCAAAAAGAGAAATTAAATTCTGTTAAGATAAGTGCTCGCTTCGGCACTGCGCGCCAAGATAAAAAATTCAATATCTCCGAAAGTTTCAGACCCTCCATCGGTTTTTTTTTCAAAATACTTATGAAATCCTAACGAATCGAAATGTTAATATTAGAAAGAAAAAAAAATGGTATTTCAAACTCAAAAATTTATTTAAAAAATATTTTTCAAATTTTTTGTTTAAAAAAAAAATTTTTTTTTTGGTCAAATTTTTTTCCAAAATGTTAGTAAATAATACGTAAGCCCTGAAAAAATTATTAAAATTCATTCATTTTTATCGGAAATACAGCTTATTCAAAATTTAAAATAAAATTTTTGAACCCCTGTAAATCAAAAAAATTTTTAAAAATTTTCAAAATCGCATTTGGATTATTTATTTTCATGTATTTCCCTACAATTTTACCAAGTTTTATCAAAATTGGAGAACTAGGGGGCAACTTTGATTTTTTAGGAACGGATTTAACCTGTTTTACCGACCACCTAAAAAATGGCTCTCAATTCAGACTGTGATTTGCCTTTTAATTAAAAATAAAATTATTCTCAAATTGTTTTACCGACCGAACATTAAAGTTAGTTTACCGACCACCCAATAGATGTTGCTCACTTCAGTCTGTGGTTTTAAACTTTTTTACCGAATTAGTTTACCAGCCACCCAATAGATAGCGCTCACTTCAGTCTGTGGTTTTAAACCAAGAAGACTAGATACAGGAGGTGAAACTCAGTAGTGGGGGAATACTAAGGAAGTGGGCAGCGTGACGGCGGAGCAAAAATCATTTCGGTTAATGCGCACCAAATGAATTTGTATTCTGCGCATACAAACACAATCACACCAATAAACATTCAATTCTTGGTTTGCACCCCACGTGTCTTCTGCCGCGCAATGTTTTGTTTTTACTGCATTCTTGTCGGCTTTTTTTACAAATAATAAATAAATTTTTTGTGATTAATGTGAATGTTATATGATTATGGTGCGAATTTGCTGTTTACTAAATTGTACCAATAGTAGCGAGGACAAGGAAAATCGGAAACTTTTTTTTGGTTTCCCGAAAGATGAGGTTAAGTAGAACTTAATTAATTTCTTGATTATA